TGCGTGCAGCGAACCTCAGAGAATTTGAAGGAGCACCCAGAAGATGGGTTACAAGTTCAAGGTGACAGCAATGAGGAACAGCTGCTGGCTATGTACCCTTCAGCAGCAGGTGTATCCAGGCCCCAGAGGTTTAAGTCAGCTCTGCCAGTGAGCAACAGACTTACAAGACCATCTGTCAGGACACAAACTGCACACAGCCCTTCCAGTTTTGCTGCCCAGATCTTCACCATACACAGACAATACAGGGCTTGTTATGGATTAGCTAATGAGCAACTGTTTAAACCAACAGACAGTCCTAGTTCTCCTGTGCTCGTTATCTGGATCTTACATGAATGAGCCATAATGTTGTCTTTTTCTTATCAGGCAGCTTTCCTTCATACTGGGGCATCCCTTAAGACAGCAGAACCTGGAAAGGTTATTTTATCTTGTACCGGTTTTGTTTAACAGATGTACAGGGATACTTTAATAAAGTTTTGTTAAGTCATATTTCTTACATGCCTCCAGCGATAAGGCATGCCTTTGAAAGAGACTTTAAAAAACTACCACATGAACTCTCTTTTATTACTTGCACTGTAGAAATAAAAAAGCTTCTTTTTTCCTATTCCAAGCCTCCACACAATCTGCATACTGACACTTAACAGCTCCCTCTATGTATGTGTACCCCCTTGCTTGAGAAAGGCTATCACCCTTCTCTACCCAATGCCTGACTAACCAACAGAAGACAAACTGTGAGAAAGCACTCCTAATAGTTATCTTCAAGTTTGCTCTTCCTGTTTCAGACCTGAGAAAGGACCTCTGTGTCCATCAGACTAATAAACTTACTCAAGTCAGAAAAAGACACATAGTATAAAACATAATACTAACAATTTTGAAAAAAACCCTGCGGATATTTGCAGTGGAAAGCCCTGTTTAGTCACCACCTGATGCCCACTGTACTGTCTTCCCTGTGTAAAATCATAGTACATCTAGTCTACAATCCACCTCTCATTCATACCAAACACACATGCACGCACCATTCCTTGGGACTAGTTTTACATATGCGTTCCGTATAGGTTTGCCCAATATAATTTTAAAAGTTCCAACAAGAGCATTTCCATTCTAAGTCCCTACAGAACAGAGATCTCTCAACACTAAGCACCATGCTGTCATGAAGCTTCTGCTGATACCCATCCTATATTCCTTCTTTCTCTCCCATTAATCCTAGTCATGCTCACATGTTCCACATAAAATCCCTCTCCCTCCTAAATGTTAACACCCTTCAAATATTTTTAGACTGTTATTATGTGTCCCCCCCACCCTCCACCTTTCAGTCATCGCTTCTTAGCCAAGCTATGTATATTTAGGTACTTTAATCTTTCCTCCTAAATCAGTCCCTTCAACCCCCAGAGCTCAATGTTAAGTCTGGTATGCTTGTTGCTCTTCTCAGAACTCACTCCATGATTTTGAGATCTTTCTGGTAATGTGTTTGCAAAAACCTGTCCATAAGAAGAGTTTCACGGGCATTCATTTTACAGAAAAGAGAAACTCAAGCCAGTGGACATTATTAAATTTCCCATGTCTGATTTTGTTCCCAGGTTTTTAATTCAATCTGAAATTTTAAATATAAATAAAACATTTTGTATATTTAAGGGCAGATTAGCAACTGAAAGTATTTTGATCTACTTGGGAAAAAAAGTGCAGTGTTTTTAAAAAGGTAAAAAACCATTAAGGCTTTTTTACTAAGATTTTCAGAAACATCTGGAAGTCTGTAAAGTTATCCAGAAGCACAGCAGAAGCTTAACACTGACTTGCAACATGGGAAAAGACTGACAAATGGAATTGAACCTCAGCATGTTAAGGAAAGATCCCACAGCCAGAACTAGTGCAAGAATAAGCAGTTTTCAGTTTGGTTGGCATTTCAAAAATGGTAGATTCCTCAATATATAGGCAATGTTTGGAACTCAAGGAAAAATATTTCTTTTTATGTTCGCATGTTCTTTTTATGTTAACATGAACGAACCCTAAACTCGGCTACAAAGGAGACAGAAAATCTTGACAAACTCCAGCAGAGGTTTACCTGCTGCAAATGTCTCCAGAAATCTGGCTTCATCTAGTCAACAATAAAGAACTAGGACCATGCAGAAGCAAAGTTGAGAGCTGACTCAATGATACAAAACCTGCAGGTAGTAAGCAGAGACTGCTGGAGAGAACAGAGGGGGCTTGTTCCCAGAGCAGTCTTATGATATGAGCCTATTCAGTCAGGAAGCTGCCTCCAGTAATGGACCACATCTAAGAGGGAAAAAGATAATGAGAGTAAAGAAGGCAGCAAAAGCATCAGGACGCAGATTGTCAATGTACAGAGAAGAGCCTGGCTGACTTTCAAGTGAAGTAGGAATCGTGTCCACTCAGCCATCAGCAGAGTGTCTTCTAAAGAGCTGCAAGCAGCAAGCCGACTATGAAGAGGCTGAGGAACGTGAGCACGAGGCCTGCGTATAGGCTGAAACCCACTGTTCTGTGTGCAATTTTTAATGTATTCAAACAGAACAGAGGGAGTTCTTATTGGCTAGGTGGACTTCAGCTTGTTCAGCACGTTTACTGGTAAAAGCTACCGACTTTAAACTGATAGCAGGTTGCCTCACAACAGGTCAGAAGTATATAAATTACACGTAGAAGAGATCCTGGGACCTGGAACGTCATGCCCAAAATCACTTCCAGTGGGAAATAATGAAACAGTTCCACTTTTGTTGAAGGAAAGGGTCATACAGAGCTGCCTATAACACCCCACCCTCTGGTGCAAGGTAGTCATGGGACAGCCAGACAACCATCTCTTGGAGGCAGGGCCAGCTCCACACAAAGCTGGTCCTGTTCTGTGAGCTGGCTCATAAAGGGTGAAAATGAAATCAGGGACTATATTTATTTCATATCTTTCTATAGAGCCCAGGCTGGGCCCCACTTCCTTGGCATGGATCCTGGAGACTAGTAAGCAAAGGAGGGCATAAATCAGCGCCTCAGGTTCTGTCAGGGGCATGTTGAACCAGCCACTCAGAACAGGTGCACTGAAGGCAAGCAGGGACACTGTCCAATTTGGAGCAGTGGGGGAGGGCTTGCAGAAAAGCTGTTCATTTCTTCTCCCAGAGCCTAGCCTAACCTTTTCACCCTGCAAGTGAGTTATTTACCTTTTGCAGGTCACCAGTCCTGTCCAGAGACTTTCTACTAAACACCAGTCCATGCTAGGTCAGGCCCCAGCAAAGTCTCGTTGCTTTCTGTAGCCCATTCTACTTTACTGTTAATTTTGCTCTCACTCTTACTTCTCTTCCAGTCCATTTCACTCTCTGCTCTGACACATTCACTCCAAAGCTGAAGTATCTCTGGGAATATGCAGCATAATCAGTAAATTAAGACAGTCTTAAAACACAACTCTAATTTTCACCAGTAATTTTAAAAGACACCTTCCATGAGAACCAGTGCAGACTTAGAGCAGCAAGGAGAATGTCACTAATCTATGCTTAACAACCATGGGGTGGATTTTCAAGTAACATTTTAGTTTGAATAACATTTTAAAGCAAGCATTGTTTCTGAAAGAAGTAGTCCTACCCTCAACTCCACCATGGCTGCTTATTCCCACTCTCATCATCCCTGACTGCCAGAACAAGCAGCTGTGTAGCTGAGCAGTGGAAGAAATCAGAGGGCATATTCAAATTAAAGTTCAGTTCTTTCTCCTTTCTGGGTGCATTAGTTTTGAGATGGATCAGTTCCCTGTCTGGTTCCATAGCACAGACACTAAAATGTTTGTGCCAGCACAGAGCAGGAATTAATACCTGCATAAGAATATTGACACTGGCTGAGCCTCAGGGTGATCAGCCTTGCTCAGCCTATGTTGCTCTGTACAGATACATTGATGTATGTACCTAGTAAAATCATCCATTGTAGATAAGGCTGTGAAAACAAGACCCCACCCATGCCCCCATAGTGAAAGCAATCTACTCCCTGGATTAGGGAACAATGGTCTGATGGGTGGATAGAAACTTGCAGAATGACTTGTGAAGTGCTCCATATGAAGTTTCAGGGCGTGGTGCTCCCAGGATGGGGCCTGCAGCAACACACAGATTCCAACGTAAAGGAAAAAAAGGAAACATTGACTAGCTAGGAGGAAGGCTGCCTTCCGTAAGACCCTTGCCAGTGCTTTGAGAAACAGTTTTGAACACCTTGGGACTTTTAACCAAATACTGCACGCTCTCAGCACTTCCTTTACTGTTTAGTTACAGAAGTAACAGATGGCTTCTGCTAATGCCGAGCTAGAGAATGCAGACCAGATCAACAGTTTTGTGGACAAAAATCAAGAGAAATTTTAACTGTGGAACGGGCAAAAAATCCAACTCAAAGTCATGTCTATTACCTAAAACTTGACTGCCACCGCAGTTGCAAGCCAGCACTTCTCTGCATCTAGGGCTGGGTATCCAACTAGCTAGCCGAGACAAATCCACGGGTGAAAGACATTCGTGCCAGGGCTATAAGAAGGCAAACTACAACAAAAGGGAGCAGCCAGAGAGGTCTGGTTTTTTCCCTTCTTAAGACCTGAATACTTTGCTAGTTAACAAACTGTAGGTGTTTGCACACCACCAGCAGAGCCGTTCAGGGGGTGAATTTCTGCCCTTTAGCACCAGCTCCTTACCTGTTAGGGTAATGAAAATGTTGGAGACGGCAGTGTGAGGTACCATAGAAGATACTTAGTCACATCATGAAGTGATTATATGATATTTATCCAAAGGTTAGTTCAGTAGCATGCACAACTCTGAGATCTATCTATTCCCCTGAAAGAGACATTTATAATTCTTTCTGATCTGTGAACCTTAAAATCTTCACTGATGTTCCTAAATACAACCTGAAGTGACCAACTGCATCAACTCTGAAACACCCAAAGACAAGAAAGTTCATTCAGAACATCATTTGGTATGAGACAAGTGGCCCTGCACAGATCAGGCTGCCCAGAGTGTTATGATGTGTCCTTCCTCTCTCCTTACCATACATCTTGCCTTCGTCTGACAAGATAATCTTCCGCCGTCCACATGGTGGGTAGATGGCTAGCGCTTCCTGGAAGCTCTGCTCAATATCCGGACTCCACACACCCTCAGCGTCATTGTCAATGGGTTTGTCCAAGGCCTCACTGCCCCCTGAGTCGTTGCTCCCCTCAGGGGAGGTGGGAGAACTCCACTCGTTGGAAGTAATGGTGCCAGCTAGAAACTCCAAGGTGACACGTGGGGAAGCAGACTCAGAACCTGTGATGACAAACACAGTCCATTTGTCAGTTAGAAATCCTTAGGGAAGTTAGGAAAATGAGGAGATACTAAAGAAGGGAGAGGGAAGAGGGGAGAGGGGAAGTCAAAATGCCACAGTGAGAAGGGATTTTATTGAAGTTTACCTTAAATGGCAAGCCATGTACTTGATTTCTATTTATGTTGAAATAAAAGCCTTTTCTGCAAATTCTTCTGATAAAGCAGCCTCTTTGGCTCATTAACACTCTACCACTCTAACTCTCCTCAGATGCTATGTCTTCTTGCCTGTGTCTTTTTGTATCTGAATTTCTTTCTCCCTCTGCTGTCATTATTAGTGTAACTGTTATTTAACTTTTTGATGCGCGCATACAGGGATTCAGTCCATGTGAAAGACTATACAAAATAAAGCAGTGATGAATTACCTAGTCATCACTGAGCCCTGGGGTTGAAATTTTCTTAGATACTGTTTCACTGGATCAGAGTTAGTAGTCGGTGTCGTTTTTAACACTGACATTTCTTCTCAAGGATCAGCTGCACTTCTAAAAAGTAATTCCTGGAGCCAGACAGTTTAATGCAACGTCTCCCAAATCTCAGCACTATATACTGGCAGGAGAAAAAGGTAGCAGAGTAAAAAGATAAAGGGCACTTAGCCCATTTCTACTGCTCATCTTCAGAACGACCTTGGGCAAATTTCTTCAGTTCTCCATGTCTCTCTTCTCCCTCATTCTTTACTAGTCTCAGGATAACAGATTTGCTACTGGGCAGAAGAAGAAATTGGTCTCTCATTGAACCTAAGCAGGCAGCTGCTAGCTCTGGAAAACTACAATAAATTATAGTCTATTTACAAACACCTACAGTAGAGGCTGAAGTCATTGAGTGGAGCTTCTAAAACACTCATTCAGAAAGAAGCTTCAGATCATACAGACACTTCCAGTCAACTCCATGGAAGACAAACGGCTACTAAAGGCACAGCACATCCTGCCTTAGTCCCAAAACTGTTCGTTTTTCTTTTTAATACTTTCATTATCTGAGTTACAAAGAATGTTCACAAGCCACCATCTGAGAATCCAGTTAAATGAGAGTTCAAAATTTCCCTGCTTATCACCACATTGAGCTGGGTAGCAAGAGAATCAGAATAAAGCTTTTTCTGCAAGAGCAACATAATCATTAAACCTATACTGAACAAGAGATTAAGGAGAGAGCTCTGACACACCAACCAGACTAGCTCAGAAATATTGAAGTGATAATGTAAAGGAGGGCAGAGGAGAAATTTGGCCATGGTCTACATCAAAAACTAGCTAGAACAAAATTTGTGCAGTTATGTCATGCTCTAGCTGGTAAACAGGAAAAGCAGATCCATCCATTCAGCTTTAGAAGTTCAAAAATTCAGAGCTCATGCCTCCAGAAACTTTTCTGGCATCAACTTAAAAAATTCCAACACATTACATCATACACTCCTTCTCTAAGACCACTGGAGACTAAGTTATTTTTTCTGAAACTAAGTTATTTTTTCTGAACAGAAGCTGAAATTTGTAAGACTTTTATCATTTCAAAAGCTGAAGTTGTAAAAAGTTAACAATACTGGCTCTCAAGAAGTTTTGCTGCTCCTTAATGACTTCAGACAACAGCAGATACCTATTGTACATCTCCATAACCCACCAAAAGCTCAGGAAACAAATCAGAAACCTATTTGGAATAATTTCTAGTTGCAGTATACTTCTTACACCACTTTGCATCATTTTAACAAGTGGTTCACAGAGACATTTGGAAAACTCAGTATACAATATTTTCCGTGATAATGTTTGGAACATACACATACCGCTGGAATGGCCTACTGCTGTCTATGCATCCGTTTCAGCCCCTACACATTAGACTATATTGATCCTTTTGACCCATGCTACACATTTTCAGGGCTCTAATGAACATGGGAAGAAAGAACAAAATGAGAGCTACTGGGAGGCAGAAAGGGGAACTCATGCTTGGCCTTTATCACTGGGACACACAGCCCAAACATGCTGTGAATGACATGAAAGCAGGGAACGTGTCTTTAAAAGATCCTGAAATGAATGGTAACAGTTCCTTCCCTCACCAAGCATCTCTCACCAATACATCCCCTTTTGCTAGCAGATGTGCAATAAAAAATTACACAGGTATTCAAGAGATTGTCCTGCTGGGGAAATAGCATAGAGTAGTAAGCTTCCCAGAGTGGGACTCTGCCAGAGAAGCAGAAGCTATCTGTTCCAGTTATTCTTCTTCTGATACTCTCCCAAGCATCCCTAGTCCCTGGAGGGTGTCAAGACCCTCCACATACAATGCACATTAAAATCTCCACAGAGGCACAGGCTAGTTTTAATTTAGGATGGCAAACTGAGAAATGGAGGGGTTCGGAAGGAAGCCTGCAGTGTGACAGCCAGTGTACTCATAGTACCACCTGCATTTAGAACTGCGAGTCTCTTAACAGCCAGCAGGCTCCGCACCACATGAAAGCACACTCTAACTGCTCAACTATCTGACACCCAAAGCCACTGTCACTGAAAGTTGTGACCTCTGCTATCAAGCCATACGACCTCTGCTGTCAAGTCAAATCCCCTACCAATACATACAAATAGACACAAAGTCATCTCCTAGGCAAGGTACGGCCATCATAACCATAAAAAGCATCTACTCCAGATATATTCATCTCCTTGATGTCCACACAGCAGATCATTTCAGCACAGTACACTTGTGTTAGAAACTAAGCAAATGTATTTGATGAATCTGAAGCATAACTTCCCCCATACTCTCCATCCAAACCCCAGGAGACGTTGCCTGATCACTTCATGTTTTACATGGCTTCACATCTGCACCAAGTGCCCTTGCTGCAAAGGAAACTCTGTGTCCTTCCTGATCCAATCTCCAGAGTAAGTGGAGAAGAAAACATGCTTTCTTACTTTTTGTGCCTTGACCAGCAACATTAATCCAAGTTACAACTAGGTCAGCAGGCACCCGAATGTGCTATTGTGGCCCATCCCAACTTTTTCCCAACCTTGGGGCCTGACTCTGCTTTCCCTTCTTGGCACTAATGCTATTCCTCCTGGATTATGAGAAAAGTGGAATTGTAGAATATAAATCAAGGATGTTTGGCCATCTCTAGCTGAAACCTCAGTCATCACATAGATACACAAATTATTTTTACAAACTTTCGAAGAAATTCCACAGACTGAAACAACCATGAAAATCCTTCTAACTCTATGTCTGTAGTTGAGTAAAATGCCAAGGGCTTAAAGAGCCTGCAAAGTTTTCTTAAACAACATTACTTAAGTAGTAAGCTTCACATGCAACCCCAGGCAACCCTCTGTGCTCAGAGGCAATAAACGGTAGCACAAGCAGTTCTGGTCAGGTGTTATCTGGTCTGTAGGTCTCTTTGGCTGAACACTTCAGGTCTTCTCTTTCCTTCACTTCTGAACTGAACTCTGAATTCTCTGGTGGCCGCAGTGGCCATTCATTAAACTAAGCAAAGCAAACTGTAGAGAATCTGAGGGCTAAAGCCTACGGTAAACATCTTCATTAATATGACAAGTTGAAAAACTGTCGGTGGAATCACTTCCCCTTGAAAAAGGAACCTGGTCAAAACCAGAGCATTTTTCAGAAGCATGCTCATGCTGAATGTGTTATTTATAAGAAAGGTTTGAATAATACTCATTATTAACTACTTTAATGAAAAAAATACAAATGTTTCAGTTAGCATCTAGCTTTTGGTTTTCTTCCGTTTTCCCATTCAGTCAATAGTAACTATACACATATAGCTTGGTAACTTTCATGATGATTTGCATTACTGAATGTTCCAATATCACTAAATATTTTGCTACTTGTAAATTTTTTAACTTTTTTACAATTCTGTCTGTGGAAGAGCCTATAATCACTAATGTTTCTTCTGATGTGGACGGAATTTGATTCTGAAATCACCAAACAGACATCGCAGTTCCCAAGTGTGCTCAGACAGTTCCTTCCCCCTCTGAATCCCCTCACCAGGCACAGTTCTTGGGATGAGAAGACTCACAGGATGTTGTCCCATTCTCATAACAGGAAGTTTTGTCAGAGCTCCCGCACTTGGTGTTTGTTCTCTTCATATTCCCTCAGTTTGAACTTACGTTCCACTTCTCAGCTCTCATATTTCTGGTACTGTGCTTTACAGCTCTTCTTACTCCGATTCCATTCTTATTTTATTGAGAGATGATTAACAGCCTTCCTTTGTGCGGTCAAGTCATGATGGATTGTCTCCCAGGATCAAAGACACAAGTCTCTCACATCACCTCCACCTCCTCACCACAGTGTCTCTACTTCCTTCTTATGTCTCCCTCTGCCCAAATACTGGTTTTCACTCTTGGACCTTGTTCTTTCTTCTGCTGTGGCTTACCTCTTAATGAGTCACTCACAGAGGCAAGATTTTGGGTCAGAAGAAAGCAAAATCATGGAGAAAGTACAAAAATCTTCTAGCTCCAGCAGCTTTAATTGTTCTTTCCTTTCACACATGGTATCTCATTAGGATTCAGAGATCCTGCAGGGCTAGACAGCTGCCAAGAGCCCGTCAGTGAGGTCTCATTGACAGGGAGTACATCTTTAACAGTCTGACACATCTGCTTTCTAATATAAATCCCTCAATCATTACTGATGGTAACAGCTCCCTCTTAAGTGTTTGTGGCAGCTGCTCAACACAAAATCATACTTTCCTGAGGATATGAAAAATTGTAGCCAGCTGTCTCCAGTTGTTCAGTTTTCTTAGACCCGCTCTGTCCAAAGGACTCCTCCCACTCCATGACCATCCCCTCTTCCCTGTTGGAATCAGTATCAAGCACAACACACTAACCAGAGACATCCCTATTGCCTCACCCCTCCTTCCTAGCACAGCCAGGTGGAGACTGACAGTGCAGTTCCACTCCTGCTTCTGAGCTGGTTGCACTCTGAGCCAGTCACTTCATTTCACCTACGACATCCCTTCATCCTTGGTCATCCTGCTCCGC